GGTCTGAGCTTCCGTTCGGTGAGTCGCTATTTCTTGTGGGGACAACTGCCTCTATATGTTAGAGAAAAGAGCTGCTGAGGCCCATCGCATCCGATCAAAATATCCCAATAGAATTCCTGTAATTTGTGAAAGGGCGGCAAGATCAGACTTGCCAGAAATGGATAAGAAGAAGTACGTGGAACTCTCCATGTCTCTATTTTGTTATTTTTAACAGATTTCTTGTTCCAATGAATATGATGGTTGGCGAATTCAAATATATTGTTCATAAGCATATCAATCAATGTGCGCTTTCAAGACAGGAACAAGCTCAAGGTGCCCCAGTCCAGGCATCTCCAGTTACTCATGAGAAGACCATCTATTTATTTGTCAATAATACAGCTCCCAAGGCAGGAGCGCTAATGCAAGAGGTAAGACAACCAACTCCATGGAAGGACATTTTTCATTCGTTCACAGCTTTATGAAGAGCACGTTAGTGAGGATGGATTTCTTTACGTTGAGTACTCCGCAGAAAACACTCTTGGTTGTTTAGTCCCATAAAACTCTTCTATTTTCCCGAATGTGTTTTACTGTTTCTTTTTCATCAATTCCTCAAACCCAGCAAGAATAGGAGAATCACGAAAGATCTTGTTCCGAGAAGAGGGGAAATCTCTTAACGCATTCTTCCCATGTAGTCAAATGGTTAACAAGAGACGCCACAACGGTTGCAATATCAACGACCTGAAGAGATCACGTCACTGAATGATGACCCAACCCACGACACGCACCGCCACTCTCAATTGTTGCATGGAGTCGCGCTCACGAAGCGTCACAGTTCCATCTTTCAGACTTTGAAAATCGACGGTAATTCCGAAAGGAATTCCGATCTCATCAGTCCGTGCATAGCGCCTGCAATTGGAGAATCTGACGCCACAAAACCTGCTGAGCACTTACTTTCCAATGCTGGCACCGGAGGAATCGAGTTTAGACGAAACTCCAAGTTTCACCATGTCTCCTTTTATGGTTTGCATGATTGGATTGAATCGTGCATCAGTCGAAATCGATAGAACAGAACATTTTATAGGAGCAATAACGATCGGAAGAGACAAGAAACAGCGTTCTTCTTGATCCTATAAATTAAAGAGATCAAATTGAAGAGCAATTTGACGAACTTCGATTCCACGTGAGCGAAAAGTGTGTTCCAGAATGCAGTAAATTATTCTGCCAATTCCGAATGAGGGTTCAATCACTCCAGGGACAAACGTTTCCTCTGAAACTGAAGAACCGGTGAGAAGAGTTGTTAATCCCATTGCTTTACCCTTCTTTTCAACAGTTTCGAATTTCACCATCGGACGAGTGATTGTGAATTTGTCTCCATTACAAACTTGAAGAACGTACGAACCGCTTGTTGTCAACTGCATAACAAAGGGGAGTGATTTGTTTTCATTGTTCAGGCTTACATCATTTTCAATCAGCAATTTCTCTTCGTCTGATTTTTCTTCCAGAGATTCTAAAACGAGAGTTTGATCCTTTTTGAATGCAGGCCCCAAAAGAGCCCGATTGGCCACCATCTCAACGGACTTCAAAAGGCGGGGTTCCTCGTAACGCTTTGAAGCAACCAAAGGAGTTTTCGTTGCCTGACAAATGGAGACATCAAATATTACCACAGCCGAACTAACTACCTTCGTATGATGAGTTAGATCATAAGCAGCACGATCTGCGTGGCCAACGCACTCAACCCAGCCGTATGATGTTTCAATTTCAGCATCCTGAATCAGAAAATAGAAGAAGCAATCCTCCACGAGAACCCACCCAGCAGTCGGATGCATAGTGAGCCATTTCTGTGTCCAAATGTTGGCGGAAGCGCAGTCCGCATTCTTGAATTCCACAGTTGGTGAGAAAGAGGAAGGTTCGTGCCATGAAGTATCTGATCGAAGGAACAACATTCCAACCTGTGCTTTACAAAATCTTACCCCAAAGTTTCATTGTTAATCATCTGGCTCTCAACAGCCTCTCTGATTGTAATGTTGCGAATAATCTTGCCATCTGATAACTGATTCTTTTTGGGAAAGAGGGGAAGTTTCAATTCCGCCACATCAGAGAATTTGCTGTGCGATTTGTCTTTGGGATCAACAAAATGTTCTATTTCTGCCATCTGAAATTCCCGAACACGTAGGAGACCATTCCTAGGAGCAATTTCGTTGCGGAATCCCAAACCCAATTGCGCTGCAGCGAAGGGCATTCTCCCCGCATTGTATTCAAGAAGCCGTCGAAAGTTAACAAAAATTCCCTGCGCTGTTTCAGGACGAAGATACGCTGTGGTGGTCTCGCTGGTGAGGTCTTCTTTAGGTCCAATCCTTGTCTTGAACATCAAATTAAAGGGAAAGGGTTCGGAGAGAGCATTCCCGAGCGGAGACTGCACTCCGAGTTTTTGAAAGAGTTCATACATTTCTGACGTCGAAAAGGAATCTGCTTGACGACGGATGAGCTCTAGTTTCTGAGTTTCCTTTGAAATCCCCTTCGAGTCCGCGAGCTTTGCATCGATAAAGTCCTCCAGGAGTTTATCTGCACGATAACAGTCACCCGTTTTTGTGTCTGATGTCATCAAATCACAGAATCGATCAACATGACCAGATGTCTTCAAGACATTATGTGGAGTTAAACACGTTCCTGACACCTCCAACATGTCTTCATAGAGAACGAAATGACGACGCCAAAGAGATTCGACTTCTGCCTTTATCGCACAACCTGGAGGCCCCCAATCAAACAACCCAGCTGTGCCTCCATAAATCTCGAATGCTGGAAAGAAAAAGGACCTTCGTTTGGCGAGATTCTCCAATTGGGTGCGGCACCGACAGTACAACGGCTTTAGCTCTTCTACTTGACGCTCCACATCAGCGAGCTCGTGCTTAAGTAAAAGGAGCGCTTCAACTTCAGAAGTGACTTCACTTTGAGGAACACCAGATTTCTTCAAAGTCCGGACCTTTTCTCCCTGAAAAGCAACTTTCGCACGACACTCATCGAGCCGAGTTTGCATTTCACCCGTCTGAACCATGGAAAGTCTTGTTGCTGTGTGGAAGGGACTGATTGCGGGACAGTGAAGAATATGGACCAGGAACCGCATTAGGCGACAAGACGTTCCTTTCGGAAATTGAAGAAGTTTTGAAATCTTCAAAAACGACATTATTATTCTATACAGATGTGAAAGTGGAGGAACAAAATTGACACTCTCAAAATATGGTTCTTGTCGTCTTCCTTAAAGTCGCGGAGTGCGCTGGGCCGATTTTTTCCAGACCTACTCCTTGGATCAACCCAGGAGTTGAACTGGTCCATGCCACATCTGTGAGATTGATTCTTATTTCTTCATCCAGAATCACAAGGAACGGTTGATATCTGGGATCATACAAGTATGTGATACTGTTACTACCTACTCACTCTGTCATACCTGTATCTTAGTTCATAAAATCCACTAAAATCTATTCATTTAGCGATTATCAGCGCACGACTTTTGTAAAACTCCGTACCTCTTCTATTATGAGCTCTTCATTGTCCCAACAAGCAGCAATAATCACCTTCAACGATCGAGATCGTTGAGGGTGCACCTCTAGGGTCCGTCATGTTCTCTTTGAATTGCACTTGGTCCCAGTTACGCCGACATTTGATCCGCGAAGGGGAGGAGAAAAGCTGATTTTGGGTTTGCTTGTTAGGGTCATCGCTTGGAACCCCATCAAGTTCAAAGCTGGAGTCTTCAGCATTGGTGGTTCGATCATCCACCACCAAGGGAGACGTCTCAGATCCTTCCTTAGAATACCGAATACCATGAGTAGTTCCAGTAAGGGGGGCGGTGAAAACGGGGTCGTCTCGAAGCCCCCGTAGTCGGAAACTGTCCCTCAAGCGCTTCACTAGAAAAATGAGACCGTTTTGAAACTCGTGCAAATCAAAAACTTACAAGGTGATTCTAATGTGGTAGGAGTGATGTAGACAACATTATTGTAATGCCCTGCGCCATCCTGAAACCATCAGAACAACAGAGAATAAATAGAGACTCTCAAACGAACAGGCGAACTGACCGAGATGACTGTCAAACTGCCATCACAACAGAAGTCTCCATCAACCATAAACTTCAATTCGTGCCTTCCCGGTATTCTGGGCAAGTCCACAAAGTATTGCCTAATGTGATAAAGATATGTTCATTCGCTACGTCAGCATGTACGCACTTGGACATCGGATCCCATGACATTAAAATTCTTGATGTCCATGGTGGTGTTGTGAAACTTCCAACAAGCTCAACGATTTTTCCAACTGGATCCCACTTCCAAGTAACTAGCCAGCGTTTGTATTCTAAATCTATCAACTTGCGTGCCTTGAATCCTCTATAGTGACGCTGAATAGTAACCGCCGACTCTAGACGTGTTTCTCTAAGAACATGAATCTGGAAGCAAAAAAGGAAGACGTCAATTGAGTAGCAGTGCACTCCTAACTAACAATGGCCTCCAATTTGTCCTCTTCCTCTTTCTTTCTCTGTTTCCAAAACCTCTGTATTTTCAGCGCTGCCGCTTGTCTTTGCTGGTAAATGGCGTTATAGATTCTATTTTGCTCCATCTTCAACCGATGCAGAAACCGTCTAACCAATCGCTGTATCCGAACAGCGCTTTCCGTCGCATGCTTCTTCCACGCTTGCTGTTATAACAGAACGACACATTGACACCGGGGTTCAGTCTGAACCCTTACCCACTGCTTCTCAGCACTGAACCGTTGACGGCCCAGATATCCACGCCAATGCCTTTGGATTGTTGTCTGACATACACGCATCGCTCGTTGCTTTTAGATGAACAGAGACATACCGTCGCAGTGTCAATCCACATGGCTCTCAAAACGTCGAAACGACTTGGACGCAAAAGAGCCAATTGGTTTTCCCGGTTGGAAAGCAACTGAGACTGCAACCCTGAAAACATCGGCATCATCCTCCAGAAAGGCCACGCTGCGCGTTGCTGGGACTGCAGTGCATCAACGAGTTGTCTGGCCGTTTCGCTGCATTTCGACTTCTGTTGGGGCAAAGCAATTCTGTTTCTGAACGAATCAAACGAAGCTGAACCAAGTTGCGCGGTATGCTTCGTTGCTTCTCAGAGTCGGGTATAGAGGAGAACAGCAAAGACCCTGCAGACACACCAGATTGCATTCGAGTCTCCCCAGAGCAAGAAGGGGTTGAGCCAAGAAAAGGCTTGCTGGTGCCGGTTTCCCCGGATGCGAATGTTGACCCGCCATCAGTGTCTACGCAAGACGTTGTTGTTTCCACCCACAAATCGGTGAGATCCGACTGTTCCACCAAAGGTGCTGCTGCGGGATAGCAGTAGATAAGAGACGAAATGATCCGATATGTTTGCAATGATCGATTATACGATCTGAAATCACAATGAAATCACGTGATGAAACTGACTGGAAGAAGGGTACCTCAAGAACTCAGACTGAATTGTGCCTAACGGGAAAAATCCGCCCAGAGGGGATGGCGACGGTGACATCGAATTATCGAAGAACGATCTGAACCAAATTTGGGGATTTGGAATTTCTTTGGCTCTTACTTGTTCGATGAATGGCTCGTCGGACGTTTCTGCTTCGGCTCAGTTGAGGGAGCCGCTGGGTCGATCTTCATTTGTGCAGTGCCCCCCTCAACAAAGCCGGCATTCATTTGTGCGGAAAAGGAGTGCTGGAGTTACAGAAAGACCAAGTGTTTGAACAAAATTGGGACCGTGCAAGGACAGCCCGAAGGCAGAACAGTAAAACGACGGAAGTTTACGCATCAAGAAGCAGGCGAGTAACACCTCGAGCAGGCACGACAAGAACAGAAGCTATTGGAGTGTGCAGGAGAGGTTGGATTATGACACCGTGTGGTCGTTGATCATCCAAAAATGAAAAAAGTCCTCCTCCAAAAAAACACGAACATGACTAGGTTTGCTATGCGAAGCTTGAATAATAAGACCGGAGAAAGTTGGGCCATCCTTGACCTTCAAGGAAAAACGTGACAAGTTGATTGGTTGGATAGAACGGCTGCGAGGCGTCCCTTTACACACACGCCCTTCGATTTTGGTGTCACGCAAACTGCTTCTGTCCCCATCTTGAGAACAGCTGAACTCAAATGAGTTCTAGATGCCGTTTATCCCGCGAACAAAGAATTTTCCCTGCAGCTTGCTACACATTGGCTGGAATGTTGACACATCTTCATGCACTGGAACAACATTGATAGCAGAAAGTATTTCCACTTCAAAAACCCCGCGTCGGCTGCCTCGAACCCCCATACTGTATGTCTCGCCGGGGTCTACGCAAAATGAAACGGCTTAAGAACCAACGATGCTACCATGAGCCATGTGGGTCAACACTGCTCACCACCTTACTGAGCGTGGAAGTGGAAGATCACAAAGATATAACTCGATCACCTTGTCAGACGTCAGACCCCTACAATACTGTATTGAGGGAACCCAAGTTTTTCCTCGGAAATCGATTTGAGTATTTATTTGCAGCGTATTTAGCGAGAACGGCAAGGCTTCCAGGACTGGTGTCTTCTGGCACAGTACTCCTAGAATATATGACTGAGTAACTCAAGAAATGCCAAAACGAAGATTTTGCCGGTCTCTCCCTACCTTCGTTGCTTGACCAAATGCCTTTACCGTCGCCAGCTGTTTTAAGCGGGTTTTCCCCGTTTAGCACAATTCAGTCTGAGTTCTTGAGGTACCCTTCTTCCAGTCAGTTTCATCACGTGATTTCATTGTGATTTCAGATCGTATAATCGATCATTGCAAACATATCGGATCATTTCGTCTCTTATCTACTGCTATCCCGCAGCAGCACCTTTGGTGGAACAGTCGGATCTCACCGATTTGTGGGTGGAAACAACAACGTCTTGCGCAGACACTGATGGCGGATCAACACTCGCATCTGGAGAAACCTGCACCGGCAAGCCTTTTCTCGTTCTCGGCTCAACCGCTTGTTACTCTGGGGAAGCACCAATGCGATCTGGTGTGTCTGTAAAGTCTTCGGTAGTCTCTTCTATACCTGACTCTGAGAAGCAACGAAACATACCGCCCAACTTGGTTCAGCTTCGTCTAATTCATTCAGAATCAGATTTGTTTTGCCCCACCAAAAGTCGAAATGCAGCGAAACCACCAGACAACTCGCTGATGCGCTGGCAGTCCCAGCAATGGCCTTTCTGGAGGATGATGGTGCCGATGTTTTCAGGGTTGCAGTCTCAGTTGCTTTCCAACCGGGAAAACCAATTGGCTCTTTTGCGTCCAAGTCGTTTCGACCTTTTGAGAGCCATGTGGATTGACACTGCGACGGTATGTCTCTGTTCATCTAAAAGCAACGAGCGATGCGTGTATGTCAGACAACAATCCAAAGGCATTGGCGTGGATATCTGGGTCGTCAACGGTTCAGTGCTGAGAAGCAGTGGGTAAGGGTCAGACTGAACCCCGGTGTCCATGTGTCGTTATAACAGCAAGCGTGGAAGAAGCATGCGACGGAAAGCGCTGTTCGGATACAGCGATTGGTTAGACGGTTTCTGCATCGGTTGAAGATGGAGCAAAATAGAATCTATAACGCCATTTACCAGCAAAGAGAAGCGGCAGCGCTTAAAATACAGAGGTTTTGGAAACAGAGAAAGAAAGAGGAAGAGGACAAATTGGAGGCCATTGTTAGTTGGGAGTGCACTGCTACTCAATTGACGTCTTCCTGCTTTGCTTCCAGATCCATGTTATTAGAGAAGCGCGCGTAGAATCGGCGGTTACTATTCAGCGTCACTATAGAGGATTCAAGGCACGCAAGTTGATAGATTTAGAATACAAACGCTGGCTAGTTACTTGGAAGTGGGATCCAGTTGGAAAAATCGTTGAGCTTGTTGGAAGTTTCACAACACCACCATGGACATCAAGAATTTTAATGTCATGGGATCCGATGTCCAAGTGCGTACATGCTGACGTAGCGAATGAACATATCTTTATCACATTAGGCAATACTTTGTGGACTTGCCCAGAATACCGGGAAGGCACGAATTGAAGTTTATGGTTGATGGAGACTTCTGTTGTGATGGCAGTTTGACAGTCATCTCGGTCAGTTCGCCTGTTCGTTTGAGAGTCTCTATTTATTCCCTTTTGTTCTGATGGTTTCAGGATGGCGCAGGGCATTACAATAATGTTGTTTACATCACTCCTACCACATTAGAATCACCTTGTAAGTTTTTGATTTGCACGAGTTTGAAAACGGTCTCATTTTTCTAGTGAAGCGCTTGAGGGACAGTTTCCGACTATGGGGGCTTCGAGACGACCCCGTTTTCACCGCCCCCCTTACTGGAACTACTCATGGTATTCGGTATTCTAAGGAAGGATCTGAGACGTCTCCCTTGGTGGTGGTTGATCGAACCACCAATGCTGAAGACTCCAGCTTTGAACCTGATGGGGTTCCAAGCGATGACTCACTTCAATCCAGTTGCAGCATAGGAAGCTCACAATCATAGAGGATGAACTGAGGAGCAAAATGAGTAGTGCAAAGGCTCTAATCGGAACGTTCATTGATGTCAATGCTCCCAAGTGTAGTCATCAAGTTTCTGGTTAAACAAGTTTCCGTTATCACTGTCGCCTTCAATCGATTACGGAATTCACAATCAAACCAAGGAGGCAGATCTGAGTTGCTTTAAAAAGAAGTTCTTCTGTCTTCCTTTATGGGGCTCTAGAATCCTGAGTGTGTCACTCTCGATCTTCTGTTCAAGGATGAGAAATTACCAGTGATGCAACAGACGGCAAATGATGTTGTGCGACTAAGTGACTCACTACAAACATGTTCGCTCATTGCCAGGATTTCTTTTAAGAATTCAGTCCAAAAATCCAATTATGATTTTGACTGAAGGACGTAGATATGTGGAGTCACAACCGACAAGGTTCCACATTTTTTATTTGGGGGCAGTCTTATGAGTGGTCTATCTTCCCAGTATTACTGTCCCTCGAGGCATCCAAATGGGTAAGCTCTGTTCGACACTTCTTCTTGCACTCCGTCTTTTTCGTTCAGATTTTTTCTCAATCGGGTGCCTCCACCTTCGCCATCCCCTCTGGGCGGATTTTTCCCGTTAGGCACAATTCAGTCTGAGTTCTTGAGGTACCCTTCTTCCAGTCAGTTTCATCACGTGATTTCATTGTGATTTCAGATCGTATAATCGATCATTGCAAACATATCGGATCATTTCGTCTCTTATCTACTGCTATCCCGCAGCAGCACCTTTGGTGGAACAGTCGGATCTCACCGATTTGTGGGTGGAAACAACAACGTCTTGCGCAGACACTGATGGCGGGTCAACATTCGCATCCGGGGAAACCGGCACCAGCAAGCCTTTTCTTGGCTCAACGCCTTCTTACTCTGGGGAGACTCGAATGCAATCTGGTGTGTCTGCAGGGTCTTTGCTATTCTCCTCCATACCCGACTCTGAGAAGCAACGAAGCATACCGCGCAACTTGGTTCAGCTTCGTTTGATTCGTTCAGAAGCAGAATTGATTTGTCCCAACAGGCAAGACAACTCGTTGATGCACTGGCAGTCCCAGCAACCCGCAGCGTGCCCTTTCCGGAGGGTGATGATGCCGATGTTTTCAGTGCTCCAAAGCCGAAGAAAACGATTCGTTCCGAGCCGTTTCGACCTTTTGAGAGCCATGTGGATTGACACTGCGACGGTAGGTGTCTGTTCATCTAAAAGCAACGAGCGATGCGTGTATGTCAGACAACAATCCAAAGCCATTGGCGTGGATATCTGGGTCGTCAACGGTTCAGTGCTGAGAAGCAGTGGGTAAGGGTCAGACTGAACCCCGGTGTCAATGTGTCGTTCTGTTATAACAGCAAGCGTGGAAGAAGCATGCAACGGAAAGCGCTGTTCGGATACAGCGGTTGGTTAGACGGTTTCTGCATCGGTTGAAGATGGAGCAAAATAGAATCTATAACACCATTTACCAGCAAAGACAAGCGGCAGCGCTTAAAATACAGAGGTTTTGGAAACAGAGAAAGAAAGAGGAAGAGGACAAATTGGAGGCCATTGTTAGTTAGGAGTGCACTGCTACTCAATTGACGTCTTCCTTTTTTGCTTCCAGATTCATGTTCTTAGAGGAACACGTCTAGAGTCGGCGGTTACTATTCAGCGTCACTATAGAGGATTCAAGGCACGCAAGTTGATAGATTTAGAATACAAACGCTGGCTAGTTACTTGGAAGTGGGATCCAGTTGGAAAAATCGTTGAGCTTGTTGGAAGTTTCACAACACCACCATGGACATCAAGAATTTTAATGTCATGGGATCCGATGTCCAAGTGCGTACATGCTGATGTAGCGAATGAACATATCTTTATCACATTAGGCAATACTTTGTGGACTTGCCCAGAATACCGGGAAGGCACGAATTGAAGTTTATGGTTGATGGAGACTTCTGTTGTGATGGCAGTTTGACAGTCATCTCGGTCAGTTCGCCTGTTCGTTTGAGAGTCTCTATTTATTCTCTTTTGGTTCTGATGGTTTCAGGATGGCGCAGGGCATTACAATAATGTCGTATGCATCGCTTGCAGAACGGCGGAATCACCTTGTAAGTTTGTGACTCAAGCAACTTGCAGTTCGTTGTTTTAGTGAAGCGCCTGAGAGAAAGTCTACGAATGCGAGGAGACCTTGTTTTCGCCGCGCAGTAGAGAAGGCTACGTGTCGAAGGGTACACCACACTTAGGCCATGAAAGCCATCTGAGAACGTTACTCCAGGTTTGGGCATCTATGCCCCCTGTTGACTCTCTTGAATGCGTGTTGGAAGCGTACTGGATTCCTACCTCAACCATGTCGCAGCTGAATAGAAGGAACACTCACAGAATCACTTGCTGTGGATTGAGCGCTTGAAACACAATATGCAATAAATGGCGGTTGCAATCAAATCTCATTAAGTGGTTCGCATTTTGTGTTTCTGTTCCGCAAATGCGATGTTTGAAAAACCACCCGACACGCTCAAATTGTGCGGAACATCCTCAATGGCGCAGCGGCAAAAGCAAGAACAGGCAGCCTAACTGCTGTACAAAGAAAAAGGCGTGGCTAGAGGGAACACACTGTTGAAGAGTTCAATCAGCTAGGAATAAAGGAACATAACTGAAAGAACTATACAAATAATTCCTAAGAATTCTAAGAAACCCATTCCAATCAAAGTGTATGTGAAAAGCTCGTCCTTGATGCTCGGATTTCTAGAAGTCCCAGAAACGAGGGCAGCAAATAATTGGCCAATCCCTTGAGCGACGCCACCAACTGACATTAATGCAATTGCAGCACCAAGCGTCGCAAGACCAGCTTCATGGCGAACACCCATGGGAGGACCAAATGGGCGAAATGAATCAATTTGTCGCTGTTGAGATGATAACGAAAGGGTCGTCGACGAAGGAGAAGAGGGACGTTGAAGGGGATTGTGCCGCGAGAATGTTGAAAGAGAACGAATACCAGCTGATACGTGAGCGGGACGTGCCAGAGATGACAAGAAAATCGCGCGTGAAAGACTCGACATCACTACAGAAATCTGACGAACAGCTACTATGAGAGAATGACACCAATGGGGTGTTCTTGTCACGCCAAGATGGTCTCGCTGAATATAGAGCTGTTGGTTCAAAAATATGGAAATAGAGAAAATTTCCCTTCAAAGTTTTGCCGTCTCGCGCCTAAATCTGCAATAAACTGCATGACGTCCCTTTATCCCAAAACAGACTTTCTGACCTGTTTCGAGGGGAGAAAAAGAACGGCAGGATGGCGGCTCCCCTTAAAACCACGATGATACCGCTTCAAGGTAGGAATGGAAAACGAGCAGCGCGTTATTTTCGTTTTCAGGACATCACAACAATTCCAACGTCGAAGGACTTGGTGGACCATTGTGTTATCAGCGACTCAGAGACGAACTCCGACAGTTGTTCATCCACAGTTCAAAATCTCAAGGATACGAAGTTTCTACATGAGAAAAGTCAAATTTTGCCAACAAACATTCCACGACAAGTTCACTGAAATCCTTACTGAATTTCCAAGGTTGGATGTAAGTTGACACCCTTCTAAAAGTTTCGTCATTGTTCCGTTTCGTAGGATATTCATCCATTCTACGCCGACCTCTGTAATGTTCTCTACGATCGCGATCACTACAAGCTAGCTCTTGGTCAAGTCAATACAGTCCGGGGTATCGTCGATCACGTTTGCGAAAGACTACGTGCGCCTTCTCAAATATGCGGATTCGCCATACAAGTGTAAGATGCTCAAGCGCGCGGCGTTTGGCCGAATGTGCACCGCGGTTCGTAAACTTGGCGATTCGCTGAAATATCTGGAAGAAGTTCGTCAGCATCTGTCTCGACTTCCATCCATTAAACCAAACACAAGGACTCTGATCTTGACTGGGATACCCAAATGTCGGAAAGTCATCGTTCATTAATTCCGTCAGTCAGGCGAATGTTGATGTTCAGCCGTATGCCTTTACAACAAAGTCCTTGTTTGTTGGTCACTTCGACTACGGATACATCCGCTGGCAAGTCATTGACACCCCTGGAATTCTAGATCATCCACTCGCCAGCCGGAATTACCATTGAGTTGACTGCCATTACAGCACTCGCTCACATTCAAGCTGCAGTCCTGTTCTTTGTTGATATTTCGGAACAATGCGGGTTTTCGATTGAAAGTCAAGTTGCGCTTTTCCACTCCATTAAAGTTCTCTTCAAAAACAAGCCCCTTGTTATCATTCTCAATAAAGTCGATGTTGTCAAATTCGCTGACTTGGCTACTGAGAAGCAGCAGCTTTTGCGAACAATGACAGAAGGTCTTGAAGATGTGGTTGCCTTGGAAGCGTCTTGCCTCACGTCTGTCGGAATCGACGAAGCTAAGAGTAAAGCGTGTGACATGCTTTTGACTCGTCGAGTGGAAGCAAAAATAGCATCAAAGCGAGCTGATGCTGTTGTCAATCGACTCCATGTTACAGCTGTATCCCCCCCTCTCGATCGCCCTCCTTGCATTCCTGAAGCAGTTCTAAAAATCGAAGCAAGCTTGAGCGGACTGAAGATCTCAGTTTGGCCAGACATTTGGAGGATCAATACGGAGGCGCTGGTGTTTATTCAATCGATCTGAATGCTGATTGGAAGCTGAAAAATGATGAATGGAAATACGATGCAATGCCAGAGATTTATGGAGGTAAAAATGTGTTGGATTTCATCGATCCTGAGATCGAACAAAAATTGAAACAATTGGAAGCTGAAGAAGCGCATTTGATGCAAGAAGATGCAAGTATGCAGATTGATGATTCGGAATGGCGCAATGTCTCAAAGCTGGTAACCGAGCTGCATAAAAAGGTTGAGCTGAAGAGAATAGAAAACAGGTTGAAGACGAATTTAGGAAGGAAAGTTATGCCTCGGCGTCACGGGACAGAGAACGTATCAGACGCAACGCAGCGGTTGGAGGAAATAGGGTATGAAATAGATGAAGGGTTACATCCGCCAATTCGGAAGGAAAGGGAAAGAGTGACAGAAATGACGCATTTCAGCGAAAGTGAAATCTCGGATTCAGAAGCTGGTTCTGACGAAGATATGGAAGGAGGAAAGAGAAAGGGAAGGAAGATCGATAGGAAGCTTCGTCAATTGTCACTCTCAAGAACTCAAACTGTTGGGGAGAATCCCTTTTCTAGCGCAGTTTTGCGAGCTAGAGATTCAATCCCAAACAGAAATTTCTCATAGTCTTCCTTCTGAAGGCCTCCGTAAAAAAAGTTGAAAAGATCAAGAGAAAGAAGAATCGTGATCTTCTTAAAACGGTAATCTGGCGAAGCACAATCATACTTGATTCGCTTTTTTTCAGAGAAAAGCTGGAGAAGCAGATCGCTTCATTGGAACGAAAAAGCCGAAGCACCTTTACAGCGGAAAGCGTGGCATTGGAAAGACAGACCGCCGCTGACCACCCAGCTACTTCACATCTTTTTTGCTGTTCTGATAAAATTCATACGCGACCTCTCGAGTTCTTAATGGTGGGGGTGCCCCACCCACTTCAGCAAGCAAAAGTGTGAAAGCAAAGAAAAATCACGATACCATCTTCCTCAGTGTCTCTTGCTTTCAGTTTACGAGCTGATCCTTTTGATAGTTCACTCCAAACGACGTCTAACTCAGTTTTGCGATCTCTGTGGGGGACTCGAAATTGCCTTCAGAAGAAACGATTTCAAATGCCTTCCACGCTCGGATGAGGAGCTATTAAAATCGGGACCTCTCGAAACACGTTTCCCAAGATTGCTCTCTGGCATTCAAGAGGGACATTGAAGCACGAAAAGAAGGAACTTACGTTTTCTCACAATCCACTGCTCGCTGAAAATTTCCTAGGGTGTTGAGAAGGCCCCCCAGCAGCGCAATGCACGAACCGAGGAATATAACCAGGAACTGATAAGACGCACTGTGTAGAAGTATCAATCAAAAAAAAGAGAAATACCCCTAGAAGGAAAGTGACCACTCTCAGAATCTTTCGCCTTCATGTACCCAACATCTGCACGACATATAAATAGGTGAAGTGATATGACGACTCACATGTGAAGGCGTAATGGACACATTGGATAACTCCAACCAAAGCAATCAGCCAGACAAACGTAAACAAGTTCTTGAGCATTACAAAAGGATTGCTCCTGCAGAAGTCTGCTTGGTCGTCCCAAGACTTTTTCACTCCCTGGACCACTTCGTTGAAATAAGGAGTATCTGAATAATATGGCCTCAGTCTCGGTCGTCAATCCCAAGCAGATGTCTTGCGAAAATCTGCTGCTCTGGCGGCAAACTGTAATGCAGCGCGGGGTCTATCAGAAGTTCTTCGAACGAATTTAGGACCTCGAGGGACGCTGAAGATGCTTGTTGGAGGAGCTGGACAAATAAAAGTCACGAAAGATGGAAACGTTCTGCTCCACGAAATGCAAATTCAACATCCAACGGCTGCAATGATTGCCCGAGCGTCAACGGCACAAGATACAATCACGGGCGATGGGACGACTTCTGCAGTTTTGATCATCGGAGAGCTCATGAGAAATGCGGAGCGCTACTTGGCAGAAGGCGTTCACCCTCGTTTGATTTGCGATGGATTTGATCGTGCGCGAACTGAAATTCTGAAAGTATTGGAGGAAGCGAAGATCCCGTGTTCAGCAGATGATCGCGAATTATTGCAATGTGTCGCCCGTACCTCTTTGAAGACGAAACTTCAACCAAAGATCGCAAATCAAATTACAGATATCGTTGTTGATGCAATTCAGTGCATTCATAAACAAGATGTTCCAATTGATCTGTTCATGGTGGAGCTGCTGCATATGAAAGAAACATCTAGCGACTGATACGCGATTCGTGAGAGGAATGGTGATGGATCACGGAGCAAGACACCCGGACATGCCAAAGCGACTCAAAGATTGTTTCGTATTGACGTGCAATGTGTCGTTGGAGTACGAAAAAACAGAAGTCAACTCGGGATTCTTTTACAGTTCCGCTGAACAAAGAGAAAGGCTTGTCGATGCTGAGAGGAGGTTCACTGATGAAAAAGTGAAGAAAATTATCGAACTCAAACGAACGGTACTTCATGAATCGTAGATTCTTATTGGTATCTATTGATTGTAGGTGTGTACACCGGAAAACAAGAAGTCTTTCGTTGTCTTCAATCAAAAGGGAATTGATCCTCCTTCCTTGGACCTTTTGGCGAAGGATGGGATCTACGCACTCAGAAGGGTAAGAAGATTGAAATCGGACAACTATGAATTGCTGTATCAGGTAAAGCGCAGAAACATGGAACGTCTCACTCTTTGCTGTGGAGGAAACGCTGTTAACTCTGTCTACGATCTTGTCGAGGGAGATCTTGGATTCGCAGGAGAGGTTGGGTGCTTCACTGTTTTCAAAGCCTAGATTTCTGGTCTTCAGGTGTACGAGGAAACGTTGGGAGACGAGAAATGGACGTTTGTCGAGGGTGTACGGAATCCTGAATCGTGCGCTATTCTTGTCAAGGGCCCTAACGACCATACAATAGCGCAAATTAAGGATGCAATCAGAGATGGTTTGAGAGCCGTCAAGAACGCAATTGAAGATCAATGCGTCGTTCCGGGTGCTGGAGCTTTCGAAGTTGCTGCTTATTCCCGATTAATGGTTCGTTTGATTAATTCATCTCTGTACAAACTGGATGTTTTCAGAATGTCAGTCGACACGACGTATCTGGTAAAGCAAAGTTTGGCACTCAAGCGTTTGCCGAAGCCATGCTTGTGATTCCCAAGACATTGGCAGAAAATTCGGGGCTTGACGCTCAGGTGAGACAAGTGTAGTGGTCCATTGTGAAGGTTCGTGTCGTAGGATTGCATTCTCTCATTGGTGGAAGAACATGACAAAACAAAGTGTCTCGTTGGGTTGGATCTAGTTACTGGCAAGCCAATGTCTCCCATGGCGGAAGGTAACTCGAGTGGAGTCTTGATGCTTTCTATGAATCGCGTTTTGTAGGAATTTGGGACAACTACCGCGTCAAGCGACAGCTCTTGTCCCTCGCACCCACACTAGCACAACAACTTCTATTGGTTGATGAGATCATCAAGGCTGGAAAAACAAATGGGTGGTTCAAAATAGATGCTTTGCTTCCACTGTTTCTTTTGCTAACATCTAAAACCGGCACTAACAGATCCATACTTCTCTCGATATCTCTCGATTTCCGTGAGGTTGGGCGCTTCTTGAGTGTTGGTGTTTAAATTCTTCACGTAATCTACAAGATCTGAAAACTTTGCTATTGACACGACTGTAGTATTGAATATTCCTTCGCAATGAGGTGTACTGCAGTTTCTGACGGAGACTCATCACGAAGGCGTTCTTCTCTATCCAGCGCAACAACGACACCCGCAATTTCGCAACCCTTAAATGGACGCAGGAGAGAAGCGACTTCTCGTAGAGCTGTTCCTGCCGTGATAACATCATCAATTATTAGAACGCGACATTGGGGACGTTCCAAGAAGCTTGTGGCGCCAATAAGAAGACCTCCCTCTCCATGATCCTTTGACTCTTTCCGATTAATAATGTAGGGAGCATCCACACCATATTCACGGTACAGCGCTATGGACGTTGCTACAGCCAGAGGGATTCCCTTATACGCGGGGCCGAAAATCACATCGAACTCCAATTTGCTATTCATTATCGCCCCAGCATAGAAACTGCCGAGTCTATTCAATGAGGCGCCAGTGTTGAAGAGGCCCGCATTAAAAAAATATGGTGATTCGCGACCTGATTTTAGGATGAATTTCCCGAATTGGAGAACCTTGGTGGAATGAACGAAGTCCAAGAAGTCTTGAGCTTGGTTCATTTTTTCTTGATGAGTGAATCAACCAGGTTAGCGACGCGAGTCACTGCATGCGACAGGCAAAAAAGGGTCAAAAACGGTAGCAGCTTTGAGGCGCAAGGACCAAGCACTCCTCAGGGGTAGTTGGGCAACCAGGAAACAGATCTTGACAAGCTAATTCGCAACGCCGTTGCACCTCTCCAGCACATGCACCAGTGCATCTGACAGGAGACATGCACCTAAGTACCTCAAAGGACTTACTGCCGTGGGGGTCAACGGTGTTCTTGCGCTTTGGGCAGCACCGACGAGGCAAGTCCTTTGGCAAAATCCCGCATCTAAACAAACGGCATTAGAAAATTCCAACGACACACAGGGACCTACAAACTCCACTACCGGCACCGACTGTCAGAATGCGAACAAACGATTTCTCAGATCTCTTGTTGGCAACCTACCACACGACGCCTGAGGATAGCAATCCCTACGGCACGTCTGAAGACATGGCCGCAACGCGAAACGGAATTGAAAAAAAACAGCTTTGGCAGCAGAAAGAGGAGAAGGAAAATGGAAATTTAAACCCTTTCAAATTGCGTGTTCCGTCGTCATCGAAAGCAGCTTGTTCGTGGAAGTCCACATCAAGATCTTGTGCGAGCACCACCGCTAGAAGCAAGGAAAAGCACAGGATAAACCTCATTTTGACGCTGGATTTTTTTATTTTTATTGTTCATTTTTTTGGACGGAGCAAAAATGCTGTGTTCGTTCGGTTAAAAAATACAAGCTCGATGTGAAACTGGTCCGTTAAAGGCAGGCTTCGCTGCCTTGGTTCGAGTTGGGGAACGGCGGTGTCGCTGTTCATTTTGTTAAGGTTCACGAGGGGTTTGTTAACAGGTGAGGAAAAACATTCAGACAGATTTTGGGACGACCCATGGAACAGAAAACTTGGGTGAGGAAACAGATCAACAGACGACAAAACACAGTAGAGCAGGCTAACACACAAGACGCACAGCGGAGTCGACCTACGCGACTAGACACTTTTAGCAGGCGCGAGAGCGGTTCCTACTGTCAATTTATTGTTCCAGAAACTTAAAATGTCGAGCGGTAGCATGCGCTACTGATGAGCAGTCAGTCCCATTATTCAGCCATGACTCCTTCGACGTCGCCACCTGTGCCATCAATATGACGTTTCCCTTTCTGTGCGTTCTCAGTTTCTGCGTCCAGCTTGTTTTCCCTCTATGGTCAAGCTTGCATACTCTCTTTGCGAAAGATTCCACCAAGTCCCCACATGAAAGGGAAGTCCAATTGACGCAATGGACGGTTTATTGGATCATCTATGTGCTCTACTCTGGTCTTGAGTCCAATGTACTTTTCTTCCTCCCGCTCTAGTAAGCGTCCTTCGTTGATTCACTGAATGCGTCGTTTTCCCAGTTTTCCCCTGTATGGAGTGATCAAGCTTCTTTTTTTTGGTTGGTTGGTTCATTCAGATTTCCAGGTACCTTCTTCTCGCTGGGTTCGTTGTCCTGATGCGTCTTGTTCAGGGAGCTGCTTGGTTGTGGTACCAGCTGCTTGAAAAGCCCTTCAAACAGGCTGATGAGATCGTCGTCGATTTTGTTGAAACGAGGCTCAGCAGTCTGATGGGATTCGCATTGGGTCATCACCGCGGCGGAAGTCCCATGGCAAAATCGGAGAAGTTTATTGGCGCTCGAACTGCACCAGTATTCCAAGCGCAGGCGTCGGAAAAGCCTTTCCGTCCGACGTGAATGCTAAATAGTACCTCACATAAAAGTTTTGCAGATAGAAAAACGGACACGCAAACGTTCAAAAAGGGAAGCATGGGAGAAGTATGAAAAAAATAGAGATCACATACAATTGAATGGTGCTTCCATACCTGCCAAGGCGGCATAACGGGGATGAGGAATGGCTTACTACATCGATCCGCGATACAACCATCTTCGCACTGATAACAGAGCACTTGAGTTTGAGCTGGGCACTCCCCGTTGCAAGCCTCCATAAGGAGTTCATATTCAAATCCATGGACTAGCCTACAGGCCATGGAGCAATGTGGAAGATCACGATAACTGCAGAACGATCACCTTGCACTCACATTTTGCGTAGGCTCCTTTTCCCGCTTCTTGACAGACTGTTGACGAAACACAATCTGTTCTGCATTGGGCAAGACACCACATTTCATTTGGTCGGCACATTCCGCAGCAAACGACTGCCTCTTGTTCATGGGGTTGAACGTGTCCCTCTGGGATTTCTCCCTGTGTAGTAGATATCATCATTGTTGCCAGATCGGTAGGAAGGGAACTTCGAAAATGGACCATTATTCAGAATTCCATTAAAAATATTCCGAGCAAGGGAACTAAGACCCGCCCCCTCCAGAAGTGGTGGGCTAGAAGCTTCCCCTGACTGTGAGGGGATCTCGGAAACAGCGAAGGCAAAAATATTGGAACGAAACTAAAAATCAAAAATCGAACCATTTGGGTATCTGAACAAGAACAGGAAATCTGTCGGGACTGGTGCCGTAACGACGATATATGAAAAATTCTGGCCTCATTCCCGAAGATCGCGCCTTAATGTCTTCTAGTGTCTCTCGCTGTGTGGTTTCACAATTGCGAAGGGAATGGACAACTCTTCCTTCATTGAGCACGGATCCACTCAATACAGCTGATTTGAACGGCTTCCGTGTTATGAGCTGGAATGTATTGGCTCCTGGAAATGTTGATTTCAATCGTTATTGGAATATCGATAAGTGGCTATTAGATTGGGGTCATCGTCGGTCAGCCGTCCTAGAGGAAATCAGGGATCAAAATCCAGACATACTTGCATTACAAGAGGTAGATTCCATGCAGTACCGTAATTACATTCGACGAGTGAGCCTGAAGTCAGGGAGGGCCTTGTTGTAGACCTCGCTTACAGAAATTGAGAGATGAATTTGGGGAGTTCTATGTCCCCAAGCAGAATCAACAGGACAAGCCAGTTGATGGGGTTGCTGTTCTGTGGAGGAAGGAAAGATTCAAATTGGTAGAGGCACAGCCAATTTTCTTCGAAGTTGGCGGGTAAGTCACATCGAGTAGAATTTGTTCTCTCATTGATGAGGCAATGCTTTTGCTGTTTCTCGCAGAATTCTGGATCGTCCGCAAGTCGCGGCGTTGGTGGTGTTGGAAGATACAGTACAGCAAGAACGCCTCATTGTGGCGAACACTCACCTATTATTTAATTTAAAAGTATGTAAAGTGCGTTTTCATAAACTCTCCCTTCTTTTTCCATAGAGGGGTGACATTAAACTCGCTCAAATCTTGCTCCTATTTAAAGCGTTGTATGCGATGTTTCGACGGCACTCCCAAATCACAACGCGTCCCATTCCAAAAAATTTCGAGGGACTTCCGGCGGTCAACGGAATGGTTGAATGTCTTTCCAATACCCCTGGTAAGCAGCGTTGTATGATCGTGATTTCCACTCGTTCCACTATCAGGAATTTTATTTTTGGGGGATTTTAACGTCATCCCTGTCAGCCTGATATACAAATTTGTTCGGGATGGAGTTTGCAATTTCTCCAGTGACTTTCCCGATCCCACAAGGCGGCTCTCAGGTGACTGTCCAGGGTCGCACACTATTCAATATGAATTTTGTCAGGCCAATATCTGATGGAAATCAAGGCATACCCTAGTAGGTGTTTTGCAAATCTATCAATATATTGCAAAAAGTCGATGTGGGAGATGTACATGTTTCTCAGTCGAACCTGAAGGCCGTAACGGACGAGGCGCAACAAAAGCCCTTGAAACTGTTCTTGAAGTGTAAGCTGGTTTCTTTTAGAAGGGCTTAGACTCCGACATTTTAGATCTGAAGTAGCTAGCAATCAATCTGCTGATTGGTTGAAGGAAGTATTAGAATCGTTCCACGGGAGTGAGATGTTTGTTCAACAATTCATGGTCTGGCTTGAAACAATGCAAGATGATTCAACGACGACCGACCAAACGACGACCGACCAAACGACGACCGACCAAACGACGACCGATCAAACGACGACTGACCAAACGACGACCGGCCAAACGACGACCGACCAAACGACGACCGGCCAAACGACGACCGACCAAACGACGACCGGCCAAACGACGACCGGCCAAACGACGACCGGCCAAACGACGACCGACCAAACGACGACCGACCAAACCACGACCGACCAAACGACGACCAACCAACCTCAAGAACTGCCTCAACCGGCTAAACAGTCGGACACTTCGCCAGCCGATCGTTCATTTCTGTATCATCCATTCAAATATAGAAGTGCATACGCCCTCCCGTCTCCTTGCGGTTACGATTGTGAACCCAGCGTCTCTGCGTTTCATGGATTTCAGAAAGGTGTGTTGACGCTATGACACTAGTATTTCTCCTTATTTGAACCAGGGTGTGTGGATTATATCTTCTACAGCTCAAATGAACTTGCTGTCAACCGCATACTGGAGCTCCCTTACCAGGAAGATTTAGAGCGCATAAAAGATATTCCACATAAACTGTTTCAAGGTTCTGACCACTTTGATTTGGTCGCGGATTTTAGATACACCTCAAAGACAACGAGATCTGTCGCTTTGTGTTCTTTGCAACAACCACAGTGTTCAAACCGTAAAAGATTCAAATCATTTCACACCAGGCAACGCCACAACAAAAGACCCAGACAGCGGAGACGTTAGCATTTAATCTGTTGGACTGTTTTGATTTTTTGATCCTTTTCATCAACCACTTTATCTGTTTTTATTGCTTCATGGAATACACTGGAGGCAGTTCGGTGTTCGGGGATTTAAGCGCAAAGCCCGTCCCAGAGCTCGGTGAATATGTTATTGCACACCGTAAAGATATTCAAAAGGCTGGAGGAAGCGACGATGAAATCAACCGGTACGAATGGAACCCTCCGTCGTAGTGCACGCCGCTTCCTATCAGGCTGTTGACGGCAATCAAACTTGCAGCCAAAGTTGTAAACAGAGAAATCAACAAGGCCGGGCTGACAGACATTTTGGGTTCAGCGTCGAATATTAATATTCAAGGTGGGTTCTTTTGCGCCTTAGTGATGCCCTCGTCGTATACTCAGGGGAGACCCAACAAAAACTGGATGTGCTTGCTAACGTGAAGTTCATGCAGGTATAGAATCAAGATTCGTGGTTATCGTATCAATCATTCTAGGCCTTGAGAAATCGAGAAGTCGTCTGTGGCATTTGTTCTGAAGAGGATGATGACTTCATCCCAGTCAATCCTAATGCTTCATATGTCGTTCTGATGGACCCTTTGGATGGTGAGCCTAGTATGAATAGAAGGACTTGAAGTCGTGTTCACTCAGGCTCATCGAATATTGATGTTAATGCTGCTGTTGGTACAATCTTCTCCGTTTACAAACGTGTCAGCCCTGTCGGATCTCCCGTCGAGTTGGAAGACTTCTTACAACCAGGGCGGAACCAGATAGTGGCCGGATACGTTGTTTATGGTATTGCAATAGGCGATTGTCCTCTGGGAGAAAATGTGCTTTGTTTTTCGCTGCAGGAAGTTCCACCATCATGGTCGTGTCGTTCGGAAAGGGTGTTCACGGGTTCACTTTGGAGCCATCCTTGGGAACCTTCTTCCTCTCCCACCCCAACATGAAATTTCCGACTACAGAAAAAATATATAGTGTGAATCAAGGCAATTTTTTGAGTTTTCCAGAGGCGTATCAGAAATACATTCATTGGTGCTCCGAGGAAGTTGTGAGTTCCAGTTCAACAGTAATTATTCCTATCGCCTGTTGCAGCCCAATGAACGGCCGTACAGTTTGCGATACATCGGGAGTCTCATCGCAGATTTCCATCGAAATCTTCTGAAGGGTGGAATATTCTTGTACCCTCCGACAATGAAGGACCCCAATGGAAAGCTGCGTCTTTTATATGAGTGCAATCCGATTGCATTTCTAGCTGAACATGCAGGTTTGTATCTTTCATTTTCTGTTGCCAAATTCAATTCCATCAGACGGGAAAGCGACGAGCGGCACCACTCCTATCCTTGATATCAAACCCACAAAACTGCATCAGCGGGGTAAGCGTCTACTGAGCTTTTCTCGGTTATCTTGTTTGCCGTAGTTCCATTTGTTGTTGGTCCAAAGAGAATGGTGCAAAAAACTCGAAACATTTTTCACTTAGCCATCTACAATTTTTCATCTATTTGTCCCCTTTATATGCATGACGAGACACTTGCGTTTCAGCTCTAGTTAGCTGAATCGCATTATTTCTTATGGTTCGAATAATTTTGATCCTATTTTTGTGAGGTTCATACGTCGTTAGAGCCTCTCGGCCTGAAGACTCAGCTGTTACTGTAGAAGGTTAAAGGGCTGTAAATGGCCAATTGTGGAGATGTCCAGTCCTCCCTCCTCCACTAAGTGGCTCTCGCCCACTCTCTATAAGGAATCCTTATCCTGATCCAGATTCGGACCGCGATTTTAGCACTGTTTGCTGTCAAGATTGTATTCAGGGGGACGTGTTTTGCTTGGCAGGCTGCTCACGCCGATGCGTAGGGTATAACGCTTGTGAAAGTGCTGGTGAGGGTGCCTACGCCGCGTTTTGTAACCTGAAATGCGGCGTGATCAACGGCCAAAGCAATGTTCCAAGATATCTCCCATTAGCCGCCTGTGAGGGTCTGTGCACCAGCCAGGCTCAAGTGCTTTGCCGGGAGCACGGGTGTTCTGTTTGCTACGTTCATGATTTTTAACAGTTTTTGATGCTTTTGGAGAGATGGAAAGGTCTGGAGACTTGTCCAAGCACAAGATGTCAGGATCTTGTACCCCTGCTGTTCTACTGAGTCTTCACAAAAAACAAATCCTTGCAACAAAAAATATTCTCAAATAGACTTCCTAGTTGATGGCTTTTTGCATTGCAGTCAGCCATACTTGCAAACTGGCTATCCTCAGCAGGACAACAATTTCTAGAATGTCTGATTGTGAAATCTCAGACTCATTCACCATTTGGGAAACAAGCAGATCTCGAATCTGACTTCGATCAGACGGATGGAGAAGAGTTGAACCCAGAGCCGAATTAAAGGCAGCATACAAGGAATCAAAAATTTCCCCGATTGTTTCACCAGGCAGGCTTCCATTCGATAGGTGTGCTGCTTGTATAAAGGACAACGTTTCTGGATCGACGTTACGGTCTTGAATCATCGATATGAAATCTTCATCGCTTAATTCCAAATCGGATGGCAATCGCCCCTCCGGCTTTTCTAACCATACCGGGTTGCTGTAGGATTTGAAATATCTGAGAAACGGGGTGATGGAAGCACAGAGAAGGATTAGGCTCACTTGGACATCACTTGACCAAGGCGTGACGGTTGATCTCCTGCAGCTGAAAAGAAAAACTGATGACGCTTCTTGTAGGGGGAAGCCTACCAGTGCATCTTAACAAGTAATCAGAAATTGTGGGTAGGTCGTCAATTGAGAGCGATGGTCGTCCAAAACATAAGGCGCGATAAAGATCAGAGAGAAGACTTTTCTGATACTGTTCAGCCGCTCTCAAGCCTTGTGGAGTTACAGTAAGGAGGACTGAGCACTCTTCACTTGAGAGCTGCTGCAATTGCAGGGGAACATGGCTTTCCAGTCCTTGTGAGACGACGAGCCCGAACTCGTAGCTCGATGACCTGTTTTTTTTTAGTTCTTCAGGGACGAGTTCTACAGGGACGTCCGCGACCCCTGATAAGCTCACTGGTTGTTGAGGGGGCGTAGAGGCTGCAGTTGGTTTGTCCGTGCAAAGTTCTTCAGGCTTTTCTTGAGATTCTTTTCTGACTTTTTCCTTTGTTTGTTTACGACGATTTGTCCGAGCGGGATTGGAAGTTGTCTGACCGTTCTTGCTGTGCCTTTCTCTTCCAGATTCAGGAGATGTTATCACTATCTCTGCGTTCCCGTGTTCTTCAGCAAAGCATCCACAAATATTCCCCATGCCTGGATGTGGCCAGGCTAGTCTGTTCCTGCGGTTCAAACCGAACATGTTCGTTCTACACGCCATACACAGGTACACAGTCAGCCAACTCAAAAATCTTTAATTTGAACGGCTACAGCAATCCTCAGAAAAAAAGTATCAGATAAGACCATATCTACGACGCCCGTGAAGAACGATTCTTCATTAGAAGTTTCAATAGAGCTTGTTGCCTTGAAACCTGAAACCAAGTCATAAATTGCAAATGTAATGGAGACTCACTGCGATAAACATCGGGAGAATGACTAAAATGGTAAGAACGAGAAGACCGACGAGATACGAGCTTGTCGAAAGTCCCCAAGTTGAATCTGGCGTCCTACTCATTATGGTTTGCAGTGATAAGTCATAAGGTTCAGGCAAGAAGGATCAGAACTCACTGTACGTGATGACAGCATCATTCTTACCAGAGCAGGAAGAAGACGCCGGTCGTTGTGCCTTATTTTTTGAACGGTTTATAGATGCACCACCAGATCATCGTAAAGGATGGATACAATGGACTTTCTCCAACAGGTGGTTGAGGCTTGTTGCCTATGGAATCGTCACAATGAGTTGTTGCGCTATTTACTTTGGCTGGCAGGTAAGCTTTGATTTATACGTGATTCGTGGTAAATTTTCTCTTTTATTTTTTAGCAATTTCAAAAGATTCTTTTTCAAGGGGGGACTTACGCTTGGCTGTGCACAGAGCAGGATCCAAATTGGTCATATGAGGTGGGTCAATGAAATCTAGGGAGATCGAGATGTTTGTCAATCGCAGTCGTTTGCTGTCTTCTTCAGGTGAACGGAGCTTGCGCTGCTCAAAATGCCAAGGCTCAGATGCTTTATACAATTGCATCAGCTATGGAGTATGTTGTTGGTGTGAGTGATAAAAACATGATTTTCCCATTTTTAACTTCTCACCTGCAGGCTGCAGCAGGGGTTGCTCTTGATCATTTGGGGCCTCGTCTATGTGGATTGACCGGATTAGCGGTTTTATTCCTTGGAGTTGTTCTCTTGATATTTGCTTCTCAAAGTTTTCAAGTTTATATCGTTTCGATGATTTTACTGGGTGGCTCTGTGAGATTGCAGTTTTTGTCTCGACGAGAGTCTTTATATTCCCTTGTTTCGCAGGTTAATCTTATTGCTTTCCCTGCAGTACTTGCGGGTGATTTCTTTCCTTCGCATCAAGCGCTAGTTATTGCCTTTATTGTCGCGTGCCAGATTGGCTGTGCGGCCATTGCAATTGTATTATTGGAGATTTGGAGAGCTAATCCGTCACTGTCCATGCATCATTTATTTTGGGGATATCTGGGCGTCGTTTGGTTGCCGTGTTGCGTTTTGTACTTCTTCTTTCTTCCTTGTCGTCGGCGTGTCCTCCGATCGAGTCCAACAGATTTGCCCCGATCTTCAACGGATGCATCGGACCGCAATGTTCTAGGAGATGGAGATTGCGAGCAAGCGACTGGACTATCAAAGAGACGAACAAAATCGAACCACCACGAAAAAATTGAACAGGAAGCAGAACAGACTGTCGTGTTAAATGGAGACTGGAGAAGTTTCTTCAAGGAGTTACTGACGTGGGATGTGGAAATCTTCGGAATGTATTATGTATCGCAATTGTTACAAGTAGGATTCTTGATTCTTCCTGTTTCATTTTTGTTTTCCAGTTCGTCTATTATCCAACGACGACACTTCAAATGTTTGGCCAATGGATGAGCGATTTTGCGGGTAACTCACCCTCAGTCGTCAACTATGCTCCCCTTGTCTCTTTCCAGGTTACATCATGCCCACTCAAGTTATTTGGGGAATTCTTTCCGGGTACTTGGTGGATCGTGTGGGGACGCTGCCGTTATGCTACACCATGAACACACTCGTATGTCTGCACACCACATTTCATCATTTATATTGTTTTCTCAGAACATTCTTGTTTTTTCATTCATGTTGATCGGAAACCATGATCTCCAATATCTTACCGTGTTCATCAATTGTGTCAGCCAATCCTTTATCTATACCTCCAAATATACATACGTGACCGGTAAGAGGCCCATTGTTTGAGCGCTTAGGTGTGCTTTCATCAGAAATTTACGCGCCACATAACTTCGGAAAACTAGCAGGGTACGTTGCAATGAAACAATTTCTCAATTTTCCTCATCTCAGATACATTGGATTTATGGGTGGAATTGTGAGTTTCTTTTTTTGTGATTGTCTCGTTTATTTTGCGATATTCAGTTCACATTTCTCAACATACCGATCTCTGCAAGTACCGATTACAGATTTTGGTCCATTTTCTTTCTGGTGAGTCAAACGCCTTTAGCGTGCCTCTTTAATTTTTCATCAGGGTGTTTCGGGATTGTGTTACATTTTATTGACCATTCTCTGGATCCGGAAAAAGAAAGGAATCAATTACAAGAAACCGGTGAGAGCTCCTGCAAAGACTGCGAGCCCCCCTCCTACTTCTCGATCTTTGGAACTGGAAGCAAGCGAAGGTGTCAACAAGGTGGAATGAAGACGTTTTCCAGCCCCCACTTTCTGTTGTACTTTATTAAAAGCTGCGAAACTACGGCAAATAGATGTAACTCATATTCCATTTTTCAACCTTGCTGAGTCGCAATCCACGCATCATGAGCAATACGATGCTTCTCAACAAGCTTAATCAATTTGTCCCGCTTCGATTTGGAAACTGCCGTTCCATCGCTGTTGACGGTAGGGATTCCATTTTCGTCAAAATTAAGATACTGATCCTTTTGCAATACACGGAAGTAGTCGCTTGGTGAAATCTTTACCTCCGCCTCTTTCTTCGCTTTTGCATCCGCCTAGCATCACAAAGACGCATTGCTGAACATCCGAATTGGTCTCACCTTCAGTCGGTCATTTTCTGCTTTTTGTTCTTTTCTTCGTTCTTCTTCTTGTAGTTTTCTTTCTTTCTCTCGTACTAGTTCCTCTCTTGTATTTTTTTTCCATACGGGCCCTTCTGGCATGTCTTCCAACTGAATTCCAACTTCAACCAAGTCGTTATCACGAACAGAATCGCAAAATTGCAGTAATTTCTTTACCAGAAGAATGGCTTCGGAATCCTTCGACAAACTGCTCACACTCTTCAACTCTTTCAACAAATTTTGTGATGTTGACCGGATATTCTGACGATAGTTCGACAAGCAATCCATCAATTTCGTTTCAACTTCAGAATCACCCCCCGCCGCCACGTAGTCGAGTTCACTTTCACTTCCATTTGTAACTCCGAAAATCTGCAAGTTAATGCGGATGGGTCAAAGAAGACAGAAGTCTCTTACCTTAAGAATACGGAAAACATAACGCGCTGCCTTCGCAATAAGGGGAGCTTTGCTTTTGCACTTAATGTAGACGTGAGTGTCGGTCACAAGAGAACGCAATGCAAGAAGGGCGGTTGGAGTATCAAAATTGTCAGATAAGGCCGCATGAATCTGCGAAAATAAAATGAGCGCTTTGAAAAACAACGAACCTACTTGGGATTGAGTATTCATCACTTTTTCATGAAACCGAATGTCACTATCAGACCATCTTTGCTCGCCCATGAGACCCTTCAAATCAACATCACCAAGCGTTTTGGCGTTTTCTAACTCTGCACAAAACTTTGAAAGTTCTGACACCCCGCGCACAGCAGCAGTGACAGTCCCAAAGAAGTTTAAGAAGGCGTTATCAACCTCAGCAGCGGCCACCATCGACTCTCCATCAGTCGAGTAGTTCATGGGAGCATCCCATCTGTAAGAATTTTGCTAAAATGAATCGATCGATGTTTCACTTACCGATGCATCAGAGTCAGAATGCGGATCGACCGCGGGGAGAAAACTTCCAATGCTTGTTTGATTGTTATGAAGTTCTTGAGGCTTTTAGACATTTTACTTCCCTTGATATGGAGGTGTCCAGAATGCAAAAAGTAGTTGACCCACTGTGGCTTGTTATAGCAAGCTTCCGATTGGGCTAGTTCATTATCATGATGAGGAAACCGGAGATCAATCCCACCACTATGGATATCGATCGGAAATCCAAGAACAGCAGAAGCCATCGCTGAGCATTCAATATGCCACCCTGAGAAACGGATCAAAATTCATCATTCCCGCATTATTGCATACCAGGACGACCATCACCCCAAGGAGAGCTCCAAAATGGCTCTCCCTCCTTCGCTTTCTTCCATAATGCGAAATCTAACGGCGATCGTTTCTCAGTCGCCATCCCCAATTCACCCTCGCCTTCCAACACTTTCGCTTGATCGTTCACAGAGCTCGGCTCCATTCGTCCATAGACGTGGTGAGAGGCTGCACGAAACGCCTGACAAATTGAAGTATGGAGGGACAATCAGATACCCTCTCTCACTTGAGTATCGAAATAAACGCTGCCTTGTGATTCATAAGCAAATCCATTCTTCATTATCCCTTCAATGAATGTCAAGACTTCTGGAACATATTCAGAAACTCGAGTGATAACATCAGGAAGTTGAACATTGAGAACTTTCATGTCTTCGAAAAACATTCCTTCCCAATAACGTGCCAATGCCGCAAAATCGACACCGTTTTCAACTGATCGCTTGATAATTTTATCATCGATGTCGGTTATATTCATGCACATGAAGATCTCATACCCAAAATAATCAGCCAGAATGCGCCTTATGATGTCGAATGCTAAATACGTCCTTGCGTGTCCCATGTGGGCGGAGTCATAAACCGTAGGACCGCAACCATACCATGTGATTCTTTTCCCTTTTTCATTTGGAACAAATTCAACCTTGCCGCCAGCCATTGAGTTGTTCACCACGAGTCCTGTGCGGTATTTTCCATCCGTGGAGGGCGGAGACCAGAAATCGGATGGAGACAATTTCTCAACGCCATTCGTTGGAGAAGACATTTGAATGAATGCTCCAGAAAATTTAAGCAGGTACATTGTTTCACAGCAAAAATTCAAGGACAGCAACCCAACTCATCAAACAATGCACGAATTCGCTTTGTGGAGTAGCTGAAAGCAAAAAAGAAATTATGAATATTCGAAAGTTAAACTGACCCCAAGTAATCGAAGGTAATAGATGAAGTCAGCGACTGTACTAACGACCAGATTCCCCAAAATAGGTGGGAAACTTGAACAAAAAAAGAAATAGCATCATCGAAAGAATCAATAAGGCTTTCCAGTTGATCCTGTGGGGGAGGCTGGCGAAGATTTTTGAAATAGACTCTGAGAAAAACAACTCAGAACGATTCGAGGGTGTCGCCTTACTGGAGAAATTTCCGACGCATTTCTCTATCGGGATAGTTCTCCCAGTTACATTCAAATCCTGCAGTATTCGAGTTTGTCGAGTTGCGAATGTATTTCTTACCGCAGCACTCGCAGAAGTGATTTGCAATGTCGAAGCATCTCTCGCTAGGTCCCGCATATTCATAATCGATCAGAGATAAACTGCCTGAAAACGAGAAATAGATCTACCAGTAAAAGTAGGAATTTACCTGCATCATCTTCAAGTATGTTCCCAGCCAGAAGATCATTGTGTCCAAGTACAATGTCGTAGCCGCCTGAGTACGGCAAACCTGAGGATTTCTTTAGGCGCTTCTCATACTCTTTGTATGTGCTTATCAATTTCTGGCGAAAAAATCAGAAGGTCTTGGTTTTATTGACCATTCCCTACGATTTGAGTCTATGACGATACCATTTCGATGGCATCAAAGTTGAGAAAGGTTGCGCATTGGACGCGAGGATGATCAGCCGGCGCCTTAAAGAGTGTGCGACATTGATGTGCCCATTCGAACATCTTCAACCATAACGTTGATTTCTGGTGACAAAACTCAATTGGACAGTTTTGCAACTGCTGATACTCAATTTGGACTGAGTCATGAATTTCAGATGACAGGGAAACAGAATGCAAACAAGCAACTGCTGCGGCAATTTTGATTCTATAGGATAACTGATTCATTTTTAAGAGATTCAAAGCCTGTCCAGCGAACCATTCCTCAATTTGTCCACCCTGAAGAGAGAACCTGAATTTTGGGTTGAGTTTGACCGCTTACTGGGAATCTCGCATACACTTGTTTGCAAAGATTAAGCGGCGAGAGACAGTGCATGATCTGAAGGGAGCAAGATACTGGGAAGAAGCTGATTGCACCAGATTACCAGCTCTTCTCTTTCACGATTGAGAATTGTTTCTGTGCGAGGTCCTGGAGAAGACATCGTGCACCGGAAACAACTCATTCGCGAGCGTACCAAAAAATCGAACCAAGACGCGTTCGTTTGGACACTTTCCTACGCAAACCAAAACATTAGTGATCCCTCCTACAAAAAAGAATTAATTCGAAAATCTACCGTTCTTTTGTCTTGCCTTTAACCAGCGTTGCATCCAGCTTGTCATCTGAATTCCATCCTAACGTTTTAAGTGCGAGTGTCTTGACAAGATGGAGACCTTGGTCTCTAAGTTGATCTTCCCCTGTTTCGAGGATCATCGCATGGCACCAGGCGGTGTCTGCTCATTTTCACACATGCAGGTAGAATCCAGAGGAAGTCACCTGAAGGTTCCCTCTTGAAACAGTCCAGAGGGGATCTGGGAATTTCTCAATTTTTCAAATGAAGCAACCATGGGCGTCGTGTGAACAAAACAATCAAACATGTTCAACTTCATCAAATCAGCCCACTAGTTCTGACCTTGGCGAGCAACAAACATGCTTTTCAGATTCCACTTCGCGCCCCTTTCCTGTTCCAGCTCTCCGAGTTGGAAGCGTGTCGAGATGCAGACCCCTCAAAGACAGTCCAACTGTGTCTTCATCACGTCGAAGACATCGAATTGGAAACTCAGAGCTTACAACGACGCCACGCCATCCCGTTGAAAAGCCTCAGCAGTCAGAAACACAAATAGATTCCGACCAAGGGCCCCTAGTTGGAAATCAAACAAGCCCAATCGAGGACAAACTCAGTTGCATTCATGGAACTCCAACCACACGAAGCAGTTCTAGCATTACCACAAGTAGAAATGATTTTCCCTGTTTCCCTCCAATAGTTTCGCCCCGAGGCCAAATATCAAATTCTCATGCACCGGAGCCTTCTTCTCAAACAATACAATTTTGTAGTCCGGGAGTCTTCCCATGTGACCTCCCTTTAGTGAGTGACCATTCTCAACAAGGATCGAGCTGCCCCTCAGAAATGACTATTGGAGAGGCGCAACACGATGCGAATGGAGAGGACTGCGGCGTTTCAGCTCCAATTGGATCCTCCATGTTCATGATGTTGAGTGATGAACAAGGCAGCGGGGGACCTGCTGCGGGATTGCAGCACGTTTCATTAATTCAGGCTAATCGTATACCGCCCTTAGCAATTCAAGCTGCAATTAATTTGTCGAGCCTGAGAATGGGAACTCCACGCACCCCTCACACTCCAGTCACCAACCAAGTGTATCCACCAACGACTCCACATGTTCTCTTCCAAAATGCTATTCCGATCAGATTTGATAATCCGCATCACACCATCGCAGCGAATGCCATGCCGATGGGCGTTATTGGGGAGCATTCACCGCGCGGCATGGCTTCGATTGATGTGGCTCAAACCAGCTGTGAACAATTTGTCGGGTATCCATCCGCGCCATTGCAAGAACCTGCAACAGTTTGGGCAGAACCCGGAACGGATGATTCGAACCCTGTCCCGCAACTCTGTTTGGGTTTCGCCCATCCCTCTTCAGGTCCGACCAGCTTTTTGCTGACGCCCCGCACAAACAACCAATCGGCACAAACAGTGGTCTACGGAGGGACTCCACTACCTAGCCCCCAAGATCGCCAACATCATCTTTCCTCTTCAGCCCCAAAAAAGTTCCAACCGCCAGCTGTCTGTTGCGTTCCTTCAGCTGAGTCGCTGAAAGTAGCGTCTAAGCGGATGGACCATCAGAGAACGCTCGATCACTGGAATTCCCAACGCCAATCCATCTTGACAGCAGACGCGAGAGCTCGCGCTGAACAGCTCAGAACGGCACCTTGTTCTCCACAAAGGGGACTGGCAGGATCGACCAGCCCGAGCTCTCAATCAGCAAGACATTTTTACCTCCCTCTTGGATCAGGAAACCGTAGTGGAAAGAATTTTATGAAACCAAGAAACTCAGAGTCGTTCCTATTGTCAGCAAAATCACAGAGTTTTCATTCCTCGGGATCTTCTGATGTTCATCGTATCATTGAAGAGTTAAATGGGGAGGCTCGGGGTGATAATCGCGAACATGACTCTGCTCCAGTTCGATTGTTCGTGGGTCGCTTACCAAAATGGTACAGAAGCGGTGATTTGAAAAAGTAGGCGCTAATAAGATTGTGGGTTTGCTATATTCTTTGAATCAGGGTCTTTGATGGATTCGGAGAGGTGATCGAATGTAATATTATTCGCGATAAAAGATCCTCTCAATCGAAAGGTAAGCCACTCGGAAACCATTTTTTTTGGATTTCATCGTGCCTTAAGGTTGTGGGTTCGTGAAAATGCCGTCGGTTAATTCTGCAAGAAGCGCTATTGCTGCACTCAATCAGACAAGACAACTAGACCCAGTAAGGCAGCAGTGGGGATCTTTGTTGGGAAAATTCGTTCACCCTCAGGACCTTGGCCCCCTTCAAGTCAAGTTTGCTTGCGGGGAACTAGAACGGCTCAGCCTTCCCCTTTCCCTTCAACCAGGAGGAGAATGCATCAAAGTGTTTTTTGGAAATTTAGCTCAAGCAGTAACAGAAGTGAGTCGATCAGGTGAATTTTTGCGACTATTGTTTTCTCCATTAGAGAGAGTTGCGCTCTATTTTTGAACAATTTGGCGAATTTGAAGATCTTTGTGTCCTGAGAGATCGGAATAGAAGGTCTAAATGTGAGAAAACAACTCGCTGTCGATTCCTCCAGATATTGAGTTCTAGCGATCACTCAAACATCTTCCATCTTAGGCTCAGGCTTCGTCACTTTCAAATCAATGGATGCAGCGCAACTCTGCATCGCCGAGTTGGACGGTCGCCATCAAGTGTTGGTGAGCAACGTATCATAGCCATATTTGGAATCTATTTGTTCTAGGGAGCCGCACGCCCGATGGAAGTTCGCCTTGCTGAATCCCGAACGCAGAGAGGAACTAAAACTTCAGTGAAATCTGTACCGCTCACTCCACTCAGTGACCAGTACGGCCTTCCTGATAACTGCCTCCTCTTGAAGTCAAAATCAGACTCCAACAACGGATCCGCGCATCCCCGACCCAGCGTCTGTTTTCCTGGGGATCCTTTTCTTGCTGATGCTAGAAAACAATCTCTCCTTCACAATTTCCAATCATCCGCTCGTAGTCATCATGAAATTTGTCCTCCGGAATACGGTTGGGACTCATCACATGATGTCCCACTCGCCAGCAACTTGGATGACCGACACGACCCTCCCCCCCTTTCTTGTATGTCCGACGCCTGTTGCCGCTTTCATCTCTTTCCTCTTTCAGATGATCAGTTTCA